CATCGGAGCGGGTATGTTGGCAGGCCCTGGTAGACAATCTAAGTTTAGGCCTTGTGAGGGGAATTCCCTTCCCTTCCCTTCCTTTCCTGCATGGCTGAGGGGCCTCTAAGGGCGAAACATCTAGTGGTGTCCCATGCTGAAATTCTTTCATAGAGTTCTAGGTGGAACTATAAACCACCTCGTCGTGAAATTCTTTAGGCCGGGGGCTTCAGATAACCCCCCCCGGCCTGTCAAAAAGGAAAAGCCATGGTGTTTTGATTTTGGGGTAATAAGTAGTGAAAGGGGAATTGAGTCAAGCTAGCAGGCCCTGCCAATATAGGCGGGCGTGTTGCAGGTATTAAATCCTTTGCTACGATGAAAAGGTTCACTTTGGCCCAGAAAAGAAAGCAGCCATTGTCTTCCCTCCTCATATCTTAGAGCTCATCATTGATTCTTGGTGAGGGGGCCTACGGGGGGTTCAGAGAACCCCCGGTTTAGCCCCGCCTTAGGGGCCCCGGCCTTTAGGCCCGGGGGGCCTACGGATCCCCCGGGAGCTTAGAGATTAATGCGAAAGACGCTCGCCTTAGAATCAACCAAAATGATAAAGAGTTTGTCTTCCACCTTTTTGGTCTCTTTGAGTATCTAGGCATTGTCGGAGCTACTCTGCTAACATCTTTGATAAGCGAAGCGGGAATTCTACTACTTCTTATCAGTTTTCAACCTACACTCTGCCGATCTTTACTGAACTCCATAACTCTGGTATATACGGAAAGATGGTAAGAACATCAAACTCCTTCCTTCGGATATTGCTGATCGTTTAACTCCAATACCCCTTGCTTATTGGATTGCGGGGATGCCCATTATCTTCAAAGAGATGGATGCATACATTTATACACACATTCCTTTACCCTTGTCGAAGTTGAACTCCTACGGTCTATTCTTTTAAGTCAATTCATTATTGAGTCTACTCGCTGCTCCGCTGGGGGTGAAAGGTAAAGACCAGTATATTACACGAAACCCTAAACGAGAAGTTCCCCAAAGTGCAGTCACTGGTATCCGTTCAAATCCATCATTCAATGTGTTACCGTGTTGGGCTCGTCATGCCCCTTTCTTCTTAACACTTAAATACCATCCCCCCTCCCTTACTAGGGTATCATCAAAGGAACGGCTATGTTGGAATGGTAGACAAGCGTGACTTAGGTTCCGTGGTAGATATACCGTGTGGGTTCAAATCCCTCTAGCCGTATTGGGGGAATTTTGGAGATACTTATCAGTACAAGTTAGAAAGAAGGCAACGACGATACCAGATGGTGTAAAATAGGTGGCCTAAAGCGGGGGTTCTCTGAACCCCCCCGGCTTAACCCAGCCCTCTGATTCCATCTGCTATCCTCGAACCAATTGGACGTCCAATTGCTTGGTATTTTGGTAAAGCCCCCCTTAAGTATCCCCCTGAGGATGCCCAACCACCAGCCAAGTTCACTATCTCATCAGTCTCATAATCGGCAGGGTGCTGGCAAAGAAGGCCATTAGGCTATCCAAGGGGGAGCATTACACGAGTAAAATCCAAATGGGGGGGCTCATTGCCCAATCCGAGCCTATGTATCAGGTACTCCGGTCCCCCCCGAGTTGCCCAGCAAGTGGGGAAGTTTAGTTTAGTTTATCCTTAACATAGAAGGATGAAAGAAAGGGGCAAAGAACGGAAGCAATCCATAGAACAAGACCGAAGGCAGATAACCGGTTTACCCCCCGTTAGAGTGGATAGTAGAATCAAGAACATCACCTAATGATTAACACATTAACCAGCTTCACTGTATCAGGGCAGCTAAAGGATTCGGTGGCAAAGCGGAAACCTGTTCTGTTCTATCCTATGGTCTAAATAGAACAGAACAGGTTTAGGGGAATTTGAAGTAAGAAATTCGAAAGCTAAGGGGAAAAGCAAGCAAGGTTAAGGAAAAGCAAACCAAAGGAAAACAACGCAAACGAGGTGACTTAAGTCACCGGGAGCTTTAGCTCCCCGAAGCTAAGGGAAGGCAAGCTAATCAAGGGTAAATGAAAGAAAGAAGGTTATCAAGCAGAAATAGTAACCTGAGAAAGAAGGCAACGATGAAACTAGATGCAACTAAAGGCAAGGGGGGCGGGGGGCTACTCTTAACCCCCCGGGTTCCAAAGGATCCCCCTAAAGCCCGGGCTTATCTGAAGCCCCCGCCCTAATGGGCCCGGTCAGTGCGTATCGGTTATGTTTGCTCCAAAGCTGAATAGATGTGGCCCCAGGCTCTGTCACCATCTCAAGGAACTGCTCAAGTGTATAAGGGCCTTGTGGTGTCGTGTTATTCTCTGGACTAGTGCGATATAGCTTGTTGGGTTGGGATGAAATAGCGAAGTTAAGAACCGAATAGATATCAGAGCAATCAGAAGGGAAATGATTTGTTAAGCCTGGGATAAAATCAGGCCAACAAGCGGCCAATAAAGATCAAGCAGAATACCCATGGCTTGTTGAATCCAATCATTCAGCTAACTTCTTGGTTACAGAGGGTAATTTCGGTTTAAACCTAGTATGCTTCTGAGCAAATTCAATTGTCAATAATTAGCAACATACTAAAAAGACTCTCTAAGAGATACTTTCCCCTAGTAGGCGGCCCGTAGGCCCGGGGGCCAAAGCCCCGGGCATCAGGGGGGAATTTTAAGGTAAGATATCAAAGGCTACTAAAATAGAAGGGACAAGAATGACTAAACCAAAAAGAATAGGTATTAAGCCAGCCCAGCAGAGATACATGAGCTGATCGAACCGAACCCGTGGGAATGATGCGCGGATCCAAATTAGAAGGAACAATAAGAAACAACTCTTGACACCTAGGACCAAAGATTCTAACACAGGGGAAGTGGATATGCCACCAGGAAGAAGGTAACCTCCTAAGAAAAGAATAGAACTTAAGACAGATATCAGAATCATGGAACCGTATTCCGCAAGGAAAAAGTAGGCGAAGGGTAGAGCCGAATGCTCTGTGAAAAATCCCGCGACCAATTCTGACTCAGACTCAGGGAGATCAAATGGCGCTCTATTCGTTTCTGCAACAACAACCATTACCCATAATACCCAGATAGGTAATAGTGGCACAAGATACCACACCGGTTCCTGAGCCTCGATGATGTGAGATAAGGATAGACTCCCGGGAATAATCACTACTATTAATATCAGCAAGGCAAATGGTAGCTCATAGCTAACAAGCTGAGCAGTGGATCTTAAGGAACCTATGAAAGCGTATTTTGAGTTAGCAGACCAACCGGCTAGCAGGACTCCATAGACTCCTAAAGAGGATAGGGCCATAAGGTAAAGGAGTCCAAGGCTCATATCGGCAAGGGGAGATGCTTTTGCAAAAGGGATTGGTATCCAACCCAACAAGCTAAGGGTCAAGGTGATGAAGGGTGCCAAATAGAATAGCCCCTTGTTGGCCTGGCTCGGTAATACAGATTCCTTTACTAATAGCTTCAGGCCGTCGGCTAAAGGTTGGAGAAGCCCGTAGCTCCCCACTT